CCGTTTTGAAGACGTGGACGACATCAAGATGGCTGTGATGACGGAACTGCAGATGATCCTGGAGGAATCCTTCCAGGAGTGCATGGCGGCGTGGCAGAGAAGGCTGGAGAAGTGCATTAGACTCCAGCGGGATTATTTCGAAGGGGAACACTTGTAGTTTGTAGTTTGGATTTGAAATATATCTTTTGTGACACCAGTCATGGAACTTTACTGATGCACCTCGTACGTGTGTGTGTGTGTTCTTGCATATTCCGACAACTACATCCGATCTACTTCAAATTTGGCAGGAAAACGCACTGTTGGATTTTAAGTAGCTCCAATAAGCGGTGGTTGTTTTTAGGGTCCTAATGTGTTCCTTAGTCTGGCTTTTGGTGGCCTGTGGGTGGAGCCTGGGTAACTCTGTTGCTAGGCAACATCATCATCAAAGACACAAATCTAGACTTTTCATAGATCAGAGACATCAGATTTTAACCACTGACAGTGGGCGCTGCACTGATACACTATAATTAGTGAACAAAAATACTCCACCACATACACAACGAAGACGACAACATTTACTACAAAGGAAAACTACTGGTTCATTAGTTGTCATGCGGTCGACGTACCCATCAGTAATCTCCTCGGTAGCTTTTGCAGCCATGTTTTTAAAAAGCCTACATTCAATAACTTCAGACACGTTTCCTGTCAGATGGGGAAACATTCATCAAAAATCCATAAAACTCGTTACCTGACACTCATTACTCAGTTAATGATTTTATCACCTTTCATCTATGTTAATATCTTGCATAAAGGCTATAAACGAAGCTAATAACGCGGTGATTTCCCACGACGATTGCTTCCTTTGCTCTTCCATTCTCTCATTACTTACTGTATTATCGTCATTATATTCCATTCCTCATTACATTCTCTCATTACGCCTGCAATCATTTTGTCAGAGGAGCGGTCACATTTTCAAACGCTGAGCATCTCAGCTTAAAATAAGATCTCCTCGTGTTTGCGTGTTTACACAGAGAGGTGGTGACTAATCTCATATCCTCCCTCATCTGTTCGCCACCCACCATTTTCTCATGATGGATGGCCAGCGTGTGAAAAACAGGGTCTTCCAGGAGGGAATCACTAATGTGACAGGATTTAACAATATGACTAATGGATATCACTTGAATACACTCACATCTATCACCTGAAGACCCCACGAGCACAACATCCACTTGCAGTTCTGTAGTGTTGTTGAAATGGATTAACAGTTTTAAGTCCAACAAAACTACTTAAAAAAAATAAATAAATAAAAAATCATTACAATTACCTGCTTGGTAAAGTCATGTTGTCTCTTTTCAGAAAGTAAGGTTTAAATTGTCGTCTGGAACTATTTACTATTTACACTAACACATCTGACCAATGCACATTTTCCAGGGTTACAGTAAATGTATGCACCAAGATATTCAGGCTAACAAACTCCCAAATTTGACTTATTTATACTCACTGAGCAGTGTCCCGTATTCCTGTCCTGTACATACGCTTGACCTTGTGACTTAATGGTAGTGGGGCCCAAAAAGAGTGAACGCAGCACTTCTTCTGGTGTTTCTGTGAGTTGGATTGATTCAAGCTGCATTCAGGAAATACCTATATGCTCACACACAACCTTCTTTGTTTTGCCAAGCTGCCAGCCAACACAAATAAGTGCTGCACGACAAAGTTTGGCTTACTTTTACCTGTACCCAAACCCAACAAGCTCACACCACTTGTGGAACACGCTGCCGTCAACAATTCCTTTACGAACTGTATCTCATATAGTAAAGAATATTGCGGAAACTGATTGATAGTTGGAAAACTTTTACACCTAAAAGATATTTCAGACAGGACTCTTTGTCAGATTGAAACCATTTATTTCTTTTAGACAACATATATTTGAGTTTGGCGGTGACTCTGCTCAAGTGATTCTCTGGAACAGTCTGAGCAAGCGTGACACAGACAGTCCCTGAGATCACTGGATCCCCGGCAGAGCCAAATGATTGAACATGCTGCAGGACAGTATGAAATAAACAATGTTCAAGTGCCAGATTGAAACAAGGAGGAGGTTGGGGGGGAGGAGGAGAATGTTACAACGTTGATGCAGTGGTGAAGTGGCAGCGACGTGGCGAGCACGAGCTACAATGAATGAATGAATGAATGAGTCTGGTTATGAGGTGTGCCAATAAGCTGAGAAGGCTGATTGGGCAGAGTAGGACCCCGTGATTGGGCAGAGTAGGACCCCGTGATTGCCTGACTCCGAGCCTGTCTGAACTAGCACGAAGCTGAATGCAATGCATAATAGTAGAAACCTGGAGAGAGAAGAAAAAAGAAAAACGAATATCAATATATTTCAAGAGTTGAACTCTCAACACTTGAACTCCCTGGCATTATGTGCTGCACTTAGATTCGGTAAACTTGCTACCAAACAAATGTTCAAACTCACAAAGTGCAGTGCTCGTGACAGGCTAATTAACACATAGAATTTCTTAAAAACATCTCACTAATGAATTAAAGAGTCTGTCTGTTGTTAGCATTTCTAGACAACCACATATTGAATTCACATCAAACTTGGCAGGAGTTTTACTGGAAACCCAAGAAAGCGAGACTGAAGTGAATCCAGTGGGCAATGGCCATTTTTGGTGTTTTGTTATGGTCTTAAGCCTTTACCTGCCTATGGGTGGAGCCTGAGTGCCCCTGTTGCTAGGTAACATCATCATTAAGGATAAAGACAGAGAACTTTACTGATCTGTCTGTGCTGTTGTTGTAATGTACATGTCACAGCACACACATAACTTACACTGAGCTGACATTAGAAAGGTAAGAAAAAACACCACTCCAAATTAATGGACTGCATGAAAAATGAAATAGATTGAAAAAGGATTTGTGTTTAAGATGCTAATTCTCACAGTGCAAATTAAAGTTGAATGTGCAAAGTCACTCAGAAAAATAAAGTTGAAACCACTTGTATGTATAAATGTCAAAATGCCAGTTGTCCTCAGCTTGTACAATCAATTTACCAACAGATAGTTTTTGTTTTTTTGTTTCTCATTATCCCTGCAGGCTCAGCTGTCAATCTATTGATATGCTGATCAGCAGCATTTATCGAAACCCCAGTGATGTGTGTGTTACTCTCCAGCATAGTTGATTGCTGCCCAACATCCTTCAGCACGCATGCGCCACACTTACAGTATAGTGTAATCTAAGATATTAAATCTTTTGAACATTTATTGGACTGAAGCGTAATAATCACCTTCTCAACCGAATCCGTCCGACTTTTCACGTGTATCACAAGTGATGCTGCCGCGTCTGGTCTGGAATGAAGACTTGGGGTGACGTCTGCCATGTATGTTCGCCGTCTCCCAGCGGAGCCCGTTGCTTTACTTACAGCCCCTCAGGCACAAGCTGACTGCTATTTAAACAGTGCTGGTGAGCAAGGAATATGGCACAATCAGCTCCCCAGTGATGCTCACTTTGATGAATGAGCAGAGGTGTAAAGTATAGATTACCATTTTGGTTGTAGTGTCGAGATTGCATGTATGCATTCCCCTACTGGGCTTTGTACTGTGTGTGTGTGTGTGTGTGTGTGTGTGTGCGTGTGTGTGTGTGTGTGTTGCATACACTCGCTTTTGTTTCCAGCTAGCTGTAAATTCTTGGCCTCTCTCAATTGTCTCAAGGTGAATAATGCGCACAGCCCAGGTACTCCATCTTTCTACTGTATCACTACGAACCGCACTATCCGCACACACAGTTAACGCTCTGCTCACATCAGCAGTGTTTAGTGACTCTATTCAGCCACATACTGAGGTTAGAAAACTGCTGGTGTGGTTGCAACATGCAGTTAAGTTGTGTCGTTTCAGTAATATTTTGCGATTAATGAAAATGTACATTCTTTTCATTATTTTAGCAGCTAGGTAGCTTGTCAATTTTGCCTACGTTTTCAGCAGCAAGTAGCTAAAGTGACTAAATGTTGCTTGATAGCCTCACACACTAGTTTGCTTATCCGTGATGGAATAACCAGAATAATTACAAATTTGACCGATAAAGGGACAAACAAAGGGGGATCCAGGAGCGGTCCCTCCTTCATGTGGTTGCTGATTAGTAGACTGAATATGATGAGACTGAGAAGTATTGCCTATTTCAGCACTCAAGGGTTATCAAAAGCCACCAAAAGACCAAACACTGTAAGTAGCTGCAGAAGATGATGTCTCCATTCTTTATCCCACCTATCAAACTGTCTCCCCAACTGGACAAAAGTGGCATCATTTGAACATAACACCAGACCTATTGGGATCACTGAACACATCGGTAGTCTTCATCATTATGTCATCTTGATATCAAGTCATTTTAAATGCATTTGAAATCCCAGTTTGTGTAACAAAATAACATCTTAACATACTAGTGCATTGCCACTGTCAGAATGTGACACTATCACCTGACATTGTGCATTTGCCACTGACAACATTGCCTAGCAACAGGGGATCCGCCCACAGGCAGCCCCTGTTCATCCGAAGTGGACGCTGCACTTCCTTAGGTCCCCAGCAACACACCCACCAAGGCTGGAGCAGATTGGCTGGACGATTGTCGAAATATGTGAAGAACACACATACACACAGCAAGCCTTGGACTAATTAGTTGGATGATGGATATTAATGGTACACAGCTTAAATCAGGAGAAATAATGGCACTTCTTTAAGCTTTAAATAGATGACTTAATGGTAGTACAATGAGGAGTAATTAGCATGTCTCTAAAGGTCAGATTTGACTTCAAATCGCTGTTGTGTTGTTGAAATGGTTGTCTTGTATTTCTGGATCCAGAGATGAGAAGACTTTCCATCTAATCCATTCTTCGGTCACTATTATGTCCTTTGTAAAAGTAATTTCATTGGACCAGAGTCCAATGCTGCCTGAAACATTAATTAAAGAACACAAAGGTCATCTTCTTTTTTTTCTTTTTCTGGCCTCAACCTCTCCTCTCCTCTGTCCTCCTGCAGGAGTGTGCCTGGTGCTGGGTTGCATGATCTTCCCCGATGGATGGGACGCCGAGGTGATCCGGGACATGTGCGGGGAGCAGACGGGGAAATACTCCCTGGGCGACTGCTCCGTACGCTGGGCCTACATGCTGGCCATCATGGGCATCTTGGACGCCCTCATCCTCTCCTTCCTGGCCTTCGTCCTGGGCAACCGGCAGACAGACTTCTATCTTGACGATCTGCAGACAGACAACAAAGGTAAGCAAAGGAATTGATAAATGAATAAATGGTAATAATCCCCTAAACATTTTTATTTTTATTGAGCTCAATAACATTTTGGTGTTTGTGGTTGACTTGTTCTGACTTTTTTTTAAAACTAAGCTGTGCATTGCGATGTTTAGTACCGTCTTGTATGAAACACCAGACCACTATCAGCCACGTTAAACTAGCGGTTGTCCAAACAAAAGGAAAGAATAAACAGTACGACGGTTGGTGTGATATGTACAGTCCTTTCACCGAGAAATCAAAACTGCTCAAGTTTGCTGCAGTTGACCACTAAACTACACATAAAGCTCACAAATCGAATGGATCAGATAACTGCCGATGACAATAACTGTGGCAGAATCCTGTGCAAAATTAGGGAAAAAAAAGTGTCTTGACGTTTACATAGACGTTAAATAAAAGCAAGTTTATTATTTGTAGCCGACAACCATCGAAAAGTGCCGTTGTTAGAGTTGACCACCTCTTAGCAGTGAGGTTCACTGATGCAAACGCCACACGTTCTCAGAAATCTAAAAGCAAGAACCCCGTAAAACAGACTTAAATAGGTCCTCGATGGCTACAAGCACGATACCATCAGGTAAAACGTTTGCATCCTCAGCAGTTGATGAGTCGTGAAGTAGACTTGGAAGGAAGGAGCAGCTTTGTTCTTGTCATTCTAGCATAACTCTGAACGCTGAAACAATCCAACTACTCGAAGTTTAAATCAATGCAAGGTACCAAACGAATAGAGATAAATTCAATCCGAGGTCTTTACCTGTTTAAATAATCACATGATGCCAACATTTCTTTTTATGCCCCCACGTAGTGAAAGTATGGGCCAAAAAACTCCACACAGGTATGACGTAAGCAATATAAAAAAAGTTTGATATATGAATGAACCTGCTTGACACAAGGTTTTTTAATGTTGGTGTCTATTTAAATTAACAAGATTTCAATTTGTAAATAATATATATGTGATATTTCTGTAAACTTGCATAAAAATACTAATGAAATAAAACAGATTAAAAAAAGAGCGCATGGCCTATTAGTAACTCGATGCTTTTATAGGTGGGCCGGTCAAATCAGTCTTCCTCCAACTCTCATTTTTAGGCATTAATGGTGAGGCCGCTAACGTGAACAAGACTTGCCTGGTAGAAAAATGAACACACTCCAACCTGACCTCAGTATCTCCAGCCAAATTGCTTTCAGTGCTGAATTCAAGAGTGGGAGAGAGTCCTCCAGAGGGTTTCTGACAGTTTGCATGATGTTGCATCAGGACGGTTGAATCGCATTGTTTCAGCTGTATGAAAAGAGAGGAAGAGGAGGAGAGGGATGGAAGGAGGCGGCGGCGGTGGAGGAGCAAGAGTAAAAGATACAATGCAAAACAATAAAAAGTCTCCTTATATAAGGAACATGCGTTTGATCTGACTCCATAAACCCAACGTACAACGAGAAAGAAACGGAGTGAAGGTGCGAGAGGAGGCAGAGAGAAAAAGATCTGTGGCATAAGACACAGCAGACTGAGAGCGTGAGAGATATACAGACAGATAGAGAGCAAGATAGAGTAAAGGAGAGAGGAAGAGTGAGAGGAAGAGACGGAGATAAAGAGAGAGAATAGTGACATAAGATGTCTCGGTTCTCCGACGGTCTATCTCCATGATGGTTTCCATGGTAACTGGAGATATTCCAGAGCATGGGCGTGTCTTTCTGTTTTTATCTGATTAACCTCGCTGACAGTCTCGGTGATTTTACACAGTTTAACACATCTAATGCCTCATCAGCCGAGTGAAGTTTCCTCTTTGACTCGTGTCTCCTTCATGAAACAAAAAAAACACACACATGTCCCTTTAGCTCGGTGTGCGGACAGGCCATGAAATGAAACTCTTTGTTGTCCTGAAAGTGTCAGAAAAAGTCACCTGTGCATTATGAGAAACCTGCCTTAGTAGGAAAAATGTCAAGGTTTATATTGACAGTGCACAACAGAGTGCACGCTCACCTAACTTCATGTACATGGTTATAAAATGACCTGTGAACATCAGAACTTTTTGTTTTTTTAACCTGTATGTCTGCATCATGGCACCGCATGGAAAGGAACTGTCAGAGGACATTAAAAATCTGATTGTGAGAGTTCACAAAGATGGGAAAGGATACAGAGGAAGATCTGTACAATGTAAACACAGCTACAACAATAATCTGAAGCATGGAACGAGTCATAGCACCACTTATCAGAGCCGCAGTAGTCAAACCCGACTAAGATGACGCCGCTGATAACACACAAACAAGTGCTTGAGACTTGGCACAGTGGTTATTGATGGAAATCAGAGCTTCTGTAAAAGTTTAGACCATATGAATGACATTGCACAACTTTAACCTCTATAGATGCCATCCAAGAAAGAAAAAAAAAAACAACTTTGCTTAACACTGACGCTGAACTGTGGGATTAATCCTCGACAAAATGCATTAAAAAAGCATGATGAATGTTGGGAGCACATTCTTTGGTCAGATGAAGATAAATGTATTCGGCTCAGATGAAGTCCAGCATGTTTAGAGCATGGCCAGGATTATAACAGTGACTGCATAGTCCTGACAGTGAAGCACAGAGGTGGGAGTGTGATGATATGAGTGCAAACGGTGATGGGGAGATGATAATATAGCCCCGTGACTGCCTGTGGATATACCAGAATACTCCATATCCTTCTTTCTGTTAATTAATTTAAAGCAATTCAGATCTGTGTATCGCTTTAAATTGAGCTTAGTTAATTTGTATTTAGTTATTTTATTATTAACAGTTTCCATCCTTCATTAACCAAAAGTCCTGAGTTGGATAAACTCTCAGTGTTCTTGATTTAAAGCAGCTAAGCCTACTTAATTAATTTAACTTAGGAAATTACGTTGAATCAACCAAAAACACGTTCTCAGTTGTATACTGTAGAGTACGGCCAGTGTGAAAGTGAAACTATATGTAGATGAAAACAACACAAACATAGACATGAACGCTGTACTTTTCACCACTAAGTCATTGCCTAAATGCTTAACTCATACTTACCTAAGCACATTCATGTTTTGCACAGATATGCACTTTTTGTGTCTCATTGTTTATATGCCAACACTTGTGTTCTCTTCTGTCCTTGCAGATTTTGCTGTGTCAAGGGTAAGTTGACTTTTGCTGCATGCATTGTGTTTGAAGAATGATGTTTAAAGAACACATTAACATCTGTCTGCGTAGAGTGCAGCAGCTGGCAGTGTTCGCCGAAAGTGCTCATGAAGGGCTTTTTTCTTGCTGGTGTTCATTAACAATCTCACAGACTGTGATCCTCAACACTTTTATTGCTGAAGAACACATACGTACATACACACTGAGTCCCAGTTACCAGGTGAAACCAATTCTGAAGTTAGGATCTGACTGAAGAGTGGGACGTCCTGCCCATTGACACCATCAACAAGCTGGTGGACAGTTTGCCACCATGTCTTAATGCATAGATCTGTGTCAGGGGTGGCCAGACTCAATGTTAGTGACATTTAAAAGAGTAATACTGGACATTCTAATGCATGAAATCCCCTCAAATATGTGTTTCCTGTTAAATTGACCAAGGTTGAAAAATGAAAACGAAACCCTTAATCCAACTGTTCAATACCACCAGTTTAGTTTAAGCCTGAAAAACAGTTTGCAAAAGGTAATTGTGGTTTATTTTTTCTGTGTTATGTATTGTAAGTGATGTCAATAAAGCTTTGAGAAGATAATACACTTTATCGATCAAGAATAAATCACATGGTCACAATCATATCATGACAAGAGGTGAAAAAATATTTTATTCCAACTTTACGAGCAACAGTACAGAGCCCCAGAAGGGACATGGAGAAAGAAAAAAACAGGGAAAGGACTAGAAAAGTAGAGGTATCGTTTGCCAGATCTCGCAAAACTTTCTCATAATAACTTTTGCCAGATCTTGCAAAACCATTAGTATATATGCTTCTGGGTGTTTTTGGCAGTATGGAGAAATGACAACGGAGAACATCCACTTGTATGAACGTTTTATTGAATTTTATTTTGAAATTGGCTTAAAATATATAGACATTCATATTCATTCATATAGGCACAGTTTTCACAAAACATCCAATAGGATTGATGTGACTTTACTTCTATTTTTTTTTTTTTCCCGCTCCCTGTTTTTGTCAAGAACTCACACAGATCAGAACAGGTGGACACAAATGCTCGAGACAGATAGGGTTCAGGCAAAAAGGCAGGTTTATTACTGGTCAGGGTTCGGTACACAGAAGGTCAGTCAAATCAGGCAGAGGTATTCAAAAAGTGAGAGTCAAAAGGCAAGGTCCAAAAACAGAAGCAACTGTGACTATGGCTTGAAGAACGCTGGTACGACGACTGTGAAAGTGCAACGAACTGGCGACCAGACAGTGAGACACACAGGGTAATATACACGAGGTAATGAGGAGAGATGGGAAACAGGTGTGACAAGACAGGTACAGGAAGTAAAACTGGAACAACCGGTGAAGTGATTTCAAAATAAAACAGGAAAGCAAAACAAAACAGAAACTTGACAGACGTGACAGTGTTTTTCTTCCTCCGTGTCCCTTCTGTAGCTCCGTACAACAGTGTAGTTGGCCAAACCTGATTATATTAAGTTGGTAAACAGTTGAATCAACTAATTAAACCCAAGTACAATTAAACTGGACTTAACTAATCGCCACCGCAGAACTAAATCTTCTCTCTTGTCCTCTTCAGATTGAGGTGCGAGATAGAAGAGAGCCACGGTACGGAGTGCAGCGTCTCCACTGAGGGCAACGACGGCACTCGACAACAGCTCCTCCTCTCCTTCTCTTTTCTCTCCTCTTTCTCTTCTCCCCCTCTACGCTCTTCTTCTCTTCTCTCCAACGATCAGGATATCACCCAATCTCAATGCAGACACCAAGTGTACAGGATTCTGTAAGATAAAAAAAAAAAAAAAAAAAGACAACAAAACACACTGGGGGATAAATAAAATTTTGAAAAAAAAAAAATTATACAAGGATGTACAGTGCATTTAACACTCGACTTTCTCAATGAATACCTTTATGATAAAAAAAAACAGATTTACTGTATTTAAAGTCTTGATTTGTGTGAGAAATTCAATCCTTATGATGAAGAACCATCATGTCCATCTATGATTTTTACAATTCTTTTAGATCTTGCTATTTACCGACCTTGAGTTTGTGTGTTGTGTGCGTTCATAGAGCGGATTATCGATGCTCCTCGCGCGACGAAAGAGTCGAGACTCGCAATACGGCAGCAAGTCCATTATTAAAACATTCAAAAACACTTCAACAGGGACTCGTATGGCTCTTCATCTAAGGACTTTCCAATGAATTTAAAGGAGTACCCCATTGCAGCTTTACAGAACCTAACATCTCTGGGAGATTCTCTACTGTACATACTGAACAATGTAAATAACATTACTGCTGACAAAAAAACAGCCGACGACAAAACCTCATCTGACTCTAATGCATTTGAGTATAGTATTTCTACCCCTTGGTTTCAGTGTTCCTCGTGCTGGAAGAGCGTCAGAGTATGTGCTAATTCATCGTGTTTCTGTGACTCCTCACTACTGATTTGGTGGGATTACACAGACGGGGATAAATCTGATCCTTTAGCTGGATGTTCCGCGGAGAAGCAGAGCACCGTGAATCAAAGTGTATGATCACAAGTTTTTAAGAAAAAAAAGACACTTCCCCTGCATCAACATGGCCTCAAAAGAAGCCCCTTATTGTAGTTTTCCACTTTTCAGTATGTTGTGAATTTTAAACTGCTGAGCTTAACTACAGCTGTCACATTTAGAAAACTTATTTCTATTTTTTTTTTTTGTCTTTGTACCGACTTGCAATCCCATCCTCCAGTGTGCAGTTTACTCCAGTTTATGGTTCCAGCATACAGTGATCAGTTTACTCTACAGATGTCTTAAGACTGTGTGAATATGGCTGTCGGGGTCGGCTCCGAGTGCTGCATTGTCTTAAGGTGATGTCACTTTATTTGCCTCTTTGCAGAAGCAAAGCTGCTCGCAGTAGTCGTAGGAAAAGTGGGACGCAAAGAAAAACAAATGAAAGCGAAATCTCTTAACAAAAAAACAAAAAAAGTACAGAATCACTTCGAAACATTGCCTCTGTAGGAAGGGCACTAGGCAACAGAATTTAATGTTTTTACCGCTGAAACCTTCAAACCGTTCGTGCAGGGCTGTAGGCAGGGATTCAGAACGATTACAACGAAATAAATTAGCCTAAAAGTAGCCAAACTGAACACATTATACAGAAGCGCATTGCACTCACCAACAGAAAAGGAAAACTGGAGACTGCAGAATTGACTCACTATTAGACTAATGCCCAGAATCATCAGGATTTTCATTTCCTGAATATCTATAGACGTATTTAAGGGGTCGCAAACTATTCATCCCTTACTTGCATTACCTAATTTTATTTTTTTAAATGTATTTATCCATAATGCTTGCTGCTGTGGAAAGTCTAGGTGGACTTTGAGTGTGACGTTTTCTAAAAAAACGTGAATTGATATTCATATATGTTGGCACCATCGCTCCTGTCCTCAACACAGTGACAACTACCGTAACATTATATGTCATAATTACAGCATAAGGTCTCCATTTTTTCTTAATTCATCGCGATTGCTGCGCACTTCTATAATACTGGGCCTCACGCAAAACATTTTTAAATATTGCCTTGTGCCGTTTGTCAAATGGGAGCTGCGTACTTCTTTTTAGTCATTGGTGGGCAAGTTTCATTCGCAAAAATGCTACCGATAGTAACAAGAAACATTTCCCACCGTGGATCCTCTGCAGTTGCAAATTGTCGCCATTGTATCATTAGAGATTTTAGTTGGCCACATGCCATCGGAGACAATGGGAAAATGGTTTCACATGCAGTTAAACGCTAAAAAAGAAAACATGTCAGATGGGAGGCGGTAAAGGCAAAGTGACAGGAGATTGACGGGACAAGACAATACAACAGTTAATCTCACTTAGCCAACCCATTCTACGTTACAGTCTGGCTGCACCTCGCTATCAGTCTGCTGTCGGGAAAAAATGATCTGGCTTGTTTGTTTTCTCTTTAATCAGGATCGACATGGGTGGGGCTAAGGAAAGGATGCAGGGTGGCGGATACTGTCATAAAAAATGAAGAAATAGACGAGCAGGACGATCTTAGTGCAATTTCGGCAAAACTTGAACTTCTCTGTGTGGTCGGTTGCTGCCTGGAGCTTGTTTCGTGTCGTGATTTGGATTTTTGACAATGGTGACGTACAGATAGCAGAATAGGAAGGACAAAGCCGCCTGAAATGAGCGACCACTGGTGAGATTATACATACAGCCTACAGCTGATGAGTTGGACCACACAATAGGTGAGGCTAAAGTGATGAAGAGCTGCTTTCTGTTGTTCCTGTAAGGACTTAAGAACACGATCGGGCATAGAACAAGCATCCAGTTTACTTTTCTTGCCCAACTGGTGCAACTGGCTGCATGAAGGTTGATGTGTGGCTCCTTGGGCAGATGATTCAATTCATGTCAAGTTTTAATATTTTAAATCAAAGCCCATTTACTCTGATGCTTGCGTGAGGCCCTTTGAGATCAGCGCATAAAACAGCCGCGACACATTACAGCGATTTAATAAAACTGGGGTGTAAATCCCACCCAGATTGCTAAAGTCCCTGAAGAAATTTCAAATGACAAAACCTCTGTGTCCTCAGTGATGGCGAACACGCTGAGCTAAAGAGTATTATTCATGTAGCATTCTTACTGTGACGCGCCACCGACACCGCCCCGATTATCGCTCCTCCAACGATGTAACTTGATGTAGCTCTCGACGCAGCGGTGTCGCCCGTTGTTGTCCATGCCGACACGTTAATGATCACTGCTACACCAGCAAACATAAAAGGTGTAATTTCTATAGGACACTTCAAACAAACCTGGTGACCAGCTTGCCAGCTTAAGTGATAACTCCCAGGATGCTGTACTTTCCTGATTTTAATCATAGGAATTTGTGCTGCTCGGAACAAAAAACCTGTAACTTTATGTATCTAGAAATATAAAGATTACCCGCAAATGTGTTCTGTGCTGCCTGTGTTATCAAGTCATGGCTTCTGTAAGCTCCAGCCACTTGATTTGTCTGCATCAGTGACACTGATCGCTGCGATACCGGCGACAACCGGGATTCTGGCGTGACAAGCTGCGGTTGCTCGGTACGACAAAGAAGGCTGCTGTAATCCGGGGCACCATGGGGCTTTTATCCCTCTCAGAGCAGCACTTCAGGCTGACATACTGTAATTGAACCTCCTAAAGCCTGGGAATTAGCCGTGCACACGCATAATTGTTTCATACGAGAAGCCCGCGTGCCCTACGCCCGTTCATGGGGAATGGTATGATCACACTGCAAAGCCCTACGAAGTAATTAAATCCGGTTCGCTAAAGCAATTCAGCCACAACAAGGCGATCTACATTTTGGGCTACGTTGCGAGGAAAATACAGCCTAGCGAGGGACTCATTATACAGCATTATATTTAACTGTAATCCATGTTACGCTCTGTTAGGGATGCACTGCTAACACATTCCTCGTGGACAAGTCTTAAACTACCAGACGACACCATTGCTCCCAGGAATTACAATTAACCTGCTACACTTGGGGAACGGGTTAATGTGCCCAGTTTCTGTTGGAGAGCATCCTGGGCAGGTTACTGGTGCATCCCTACACTCTATACATGTAATGAGCAGATAGCTAGATGTGCAGTGTGTTTTTTTTAGAATGGTAGCTAGCTAACTCTCAGGAAGCTGTGTACACAGTACTGTATTAAAGGCTCATAACGGAAATGATCCACAAACACGAGCAAGTCAAAAACGCGAGGCGGACTTCGAGCTCTTGTGATGTTGTTAAAATGGCACGTTGCTCTGCGACTTCGAGTAGGAAAAGCACTACGCCGGTTTTCCAAAGCTGGGCCTTTAAGACAATATGAAAACAGCCCTTATGCTGAATCTAATGATGCTGTCCATGCAGGCTCTGCACAGACCTTTGGCCTACATCTATCAACCATCCTAGGGTAGAAGTGCTGGGCCCTCATTTAAGAAACGTTTCTTTTTACTTTAACCTTGAATTAACTGTGCAAACAATGAAAAAAAAAAAAAAAACAATTCAAACAGACCTCATCCGTTTGGTAAAGCAAGACGTATTTTTTTGCTTTTGATATATGTGTGTGATCATCGGAGAAAATCGGAACACTTTTTTTATATCTAAAGTTTGCATACAGCAGGCAGCAGTGCCTCTCACACAGCATATGTTGTGATTTAAACATCTCCTATAGTGTGCATCTCTCATTTGGGAATACTCCACGGGCCCAGGACGTATTTTACAACAAATCTACATAAAGAATATGACAAAAGGAAAAAAAAAAAAAAAGCCCTGAGGCCTAAATGGTGGCGCCAGGCTTCCAAGCATCATTACCTGTGTGATCACTGGTCTGGTCTTCTCTCCGGGTACTCTGTTCCTGAGGACTTGACGATGAACTGAAAAATACCTTAACAAGGAACTGACAATACCTTAAACCCTGATGAGCACATATTTGTACCACTCCAGGTGCCTCTAAGAACTCTTGATTTAATTCAGATGTGGTGCAGAACCAGCAAAACAAGTAGTGACACTGTAGTTTTTTTTTTCTACTAAAAGACTACATACTCAGACTGAGCTCTGAAGCTAAGATGGGTTTCACTGCAGATTTGAGGTCAATTCAGTTTCAAGGCGAAGCACCGAACC